GTGTATCAAGCCATTCAGATCTAGGCTGAGGAGACGTATTTTTATGAAAAACTTGGCTTTTCTTGCAGAAGTCGGCATGTGTTCTATTCTCTTCAGTCTCTGAGGAGAATCAAGTCCCGTTTACTCTAAAAATACAGTAATCGGAGCCAGATATCAAGCAGAACCAGATGTCACGACCCAGAAGAGAGCGTTCACAGATGGTAGGGGGACATATGGCACACAAGTTCTCTCCCACCGTGAGTGTCGCTGTCAAGACAGCTTTTTCACTATTTGTTCCTGTAGGCAATATGCAGGGGAGTTAACTGCCAACTTTTTTTCTGTTTTAAAGGGACAGATGAATCTTATTTCTTGTAACTCCCAAATATCCTGCTTATTCACCATTTCAGAAGTGGGAGAATTTATAACCTCCTTTACTCCTACAAAGATGCATTTGTCCTGCCACTTCTCCTGTGCTCCATTTGAAATGACGTGGTTGGGGCACACCTTACCCAGAACAGACCTAGTCGATACAGTCTGAGTGTGCTTCCCTAGGAGTGAGAGGCAGGATAAGAGTAGATAGCTCGAAGTTCTTTCCAAATCCAACTGCTTGTTGAAGTCACCCACTTCTGTGGCACAGGAGAAATACTTAGTTACGCATATTTGAAAAATAGAAAACAAACAAACAAACAAACAGCATGGGTATTAGAAACAATGGGCTCACAGAGAGAAAAAATACCTTCTTAAGGACTTGAAAGTGGCCCTTCCCATCTTTCAGGGAATTTGTATATATTCACAGTATATAAACTGAGCAAGAAAGTGCAAAAGATCAAAATCAGCATTAAAGATTGGAGGAGAGATGAGGCAGCACGGGGGTGTGTTACCAGGGACAACGCAGGAAAAGGAAGCACTCCCCTCATACAGACTGCTGGTGAGATAAGGGGAAGAGAGAACATGGATTTTAATAATTGCCAACAGAAATAAAGCCCACCAGGGAAACTGCTTAATGCAAAAAAAAAAAAAAAAAATCTAATGAGACAGTGTTCAGAATTCCCCTTCTACTCCCCTTCTACTGCTGTGCTCAAAAAAGAATTTAGGGCAAGATCAAATGAGTGGCTGGGGGCAAAAATGAACCAGAAAAAGACTTTAGACATCTAAGTCACCTGATCTGGAGCATCAATTCAAACCTAACCTTCCTGGCACAGAAAATTCACCTTAATGACTTGGTGAGCTTTCTACCTTTCTTCAGGGCGAACACCATCATTGCCAAGCAGAGCTCTAGCTCCAGCTGTAATGCCGGGTGTCACCCGGGTGCTCTCTCGGAGGAAGTCACACATGAGCTGTACTTTTTGACTGTGCCACCTGATGCCCGGCGGACATCAGACTCCTTTTTCCAATCCATTCCAACATGGGAAGCAATCTTAGAGCGGGCTCCTCACACAAGTGGTTTGTACTACTTTCTAGCTCACTTTTAGTGACTGATGTTCAGTTCATCTCAACAAATGCATCAAGTCCTGGTTAATATTATCCCGTCGTAAAAGAGAACAAGCATACACGTCAAGTGGTGTACTTTGCCTTTGCTCTCAGGAATAATGAGTGTAGGGATGAGAGGAGGAAACTCTGTTGCTCCTGTGTTCATGCATTGTAGCACCTACGACTAAAGCAGAGACTTGGGAATACTCTGGCGTAAAGCTGCTAGCCACTGATTTTACTTACATGTATTCTGAAATTCTACAGTGTAATACATCCTTAAATATTTCTAGGGAAAAAAAGGTCTCTCCTTAGCCCAGACTTTTATAAACATTAACTATTCTGCCTGCTTCATCTTCAAGCTAACTGCAGCTATGGAAGGAGGTGCAGTAGTTAAACCACCATAGCCTCTGAACAGAAGGCAGAATGGGCTTCCCCCTCTAGCAGAAGCTCAAGGCAGCAAGATAAAGGGGAAATGTGAAAATACCTTTGTGCTTTTCTACCTGCTAGGATGCAATACAGAGGTAAATTAAAAGGAAAAAAAGAAAAAGGCAGTCAGGGCTGTCCTGCCTGGGGCCATCGCATAGACTCCACCAGGTTGCAACGACTTGTTTTGGGTTTGGGCTCAGAGCACATGATCTTCCCCATTACATAAGCCTCTATCCATGAATTAATACAGTCATAGATACGTACATTAAAACATGAAACAGGCTATATCTCAGCACTAACTGACATAAAGGCAAGAAAGTAGGATATGGGAGGAAAATTATGAAAGGAGGAAAGTCTCCCAGAAAAAACTAGCCTCACAGTATGGATGGAAAGATGCAGTGGAATTAGAAAATCTGAGAAAAGTTAGTCACAAGGCAAGAAAGGGAAGGGGCAGCCTGGAGTGCCAAATAAACTGACAGGAACGAGCCAAGAGAAGAAGTATCACATAGTTATGGCTGAAAAGTAAAAAACGGTGCAGAGAATGCTTTCAATGTATCTTATACCACATAACCTTCAGACTGGTTTTCTCTGTCAGCATAGATATACAATAAACTGAAATATATCTGCCACATTGCGGTGAACCAATACTTTTTCACGGATTACATTGCATTTGCATTTTCCTTCTGAAGCTACCAAGTTTCCAGAAGCAGGCCTCTGGCCAAATAATCGTTGCGGATTTTTTTTTTAAATAAAGAGCAATCAGCACGTCAGTCTCTATGGGAATTCTTCTATCGTACCACAAAAACCAGTGTGTTTTCCTATGTACTACAAAAACCAGTGTGTCTTCCTATGTGACTTGCAAAAAAAAGTTTCCAAGAGGAGAAAACAGAGACAAAATTCAGTTTCAAAATAAAGTCCTGTGATAAAAGGATAAGCTACTTTGTGTCATGCTACATTCAAGTAGTTAGCTAACAGTTAACCGTGATAACTGAAACCTTTCTCCCACACTCCTTTTCACACAAGAAAACTAAAATGCCTAAATCATGATACTAAATGTGGTTGTTTAAAAGAAAGTATCAGGTAGATAAATGCTGACTCACCACCATTTGTCATCACTTAAGGAGTCTCATTTAGTGGGCAAATGCTTGTCTTGAATATTGTAGCAAACCTCTGAAAAGAGCTATGAAAATAGTGGCCAGAAATCGTAACGGCGCGTTCACAGAAGAAACAAAAAATACCAGCACAAGTCCATGCAAATCAATGTACTTATCTGTAGTACTGCAAATCCTAGTCATTGGTATTTTTTTTATTTCAAAGCATATGAAATTAGGAAGTTGAAAAAAAAATCTACCACAGTTTCAACATCGTTTCTTTATTATTTCTCTCATTCTACATGGAAATCAGAGGGTTCTGTTTTTAAACACAAGTGAAAAAAATCTTTGAAGGAAAATGTAGTTTTCAACACTTTTCTGAGCAAGTTTAAGTCTAAACACAATGTAAAAATTTGACAATAATGATTATCTAAACTCTCTATGTTCCTAAATTTATTTTTTAAAGGTTCCAGCCTAAACATTATGCATTTCCAAAGAAGATTGATTCAACATCTTCTAGAACAATGAGTACCTCATCTGATAAATCTATCCTGCTCCCAGTTCTCATGGCAACATCTCAGAGGAAGTCTCTAGTCAATGGAGGCTGTGGAAAATCACACAGCTGTGACCCCCACAGCCAAGAGAATGAGGCACCGCTCATAAGGAGCATTGCTAGACCTTCTCAAAGAAAAAGGTACCATGAAATGCTACTGCAAATCTTTCACTTTAAACGTATGTTCCGCTCCTGGACCTTGCTTTCTCCTCTGTCAGTACAGCCCAACAAAGACTATATTCTACAGCATACACGCTTCTGAGAACCAGCTGAAAGGAATTCAGTGACAGATGCTATCCTGGCAATAAAGGTAATGTAAGAACCTACTTAACTTCAGAAAAGAACAAAAAAAGGAAGCAGAATTCACACTTGCATTCAGATGATGCTCTTCATGGCTGGAAAGTGAAAACTCTTGCCACTTCAGACCACCTTGAAAAGGAAGCAGCATGTCATTTTCTCATGGTGATGCACACAGAAAAATGGATTGGGGTCCAGAAATACCAAGCTACTCCCAAGCAGGCTGATATAGCCACATGCCTCTCATTTTTTCTTTCGCAAGTAGACAGGATGTTATTTCTTGCCATTAGCACCTGGTCATGTTTCAGAACTGGCCATTTTCCACTCTCTCCAGGATACCCAACCCAAGCACAGTCCTTTGACAGATTCTCAGTGAATTTCTGTGCTTGTAGTTAGCACACTTGAGACATGGAATGAGAACATCTGGTTTCCAGAGTAGCAGCACAGTCTACAAAGCTTCCAGTTTGCAAGAAATCTGAAATATTTTCAGTTTCCTGACCATTTCAAGAAATTAAGTTTAGAAACACCCCATAGACCAGATATCACAGAATTATTCAACAAATGTCTAAAAAGCCAGATTCCATTCCATTTGCTGAACACATGTGGCACCAACTGTTCAGCTGAAACACATTTAGTGTTGTGAGGAGTTTTAAATATACCTGCTATGTCATGTATTTTCCCCAACCCCTTCAAGAAGCAAGGATAAGGTATGTTGCTCAGGAGGGGACCCCAAAGCTTGCACAGTGCAGATTCTTGCAGTAATGAGGAAGTCAGACAATCACGGAGAGGCAACAAGAAGAGGAACAGAATGACTAGGAAAATGCTGACAACAGAAACAGATTTTTAATTTATCAGCCAGTTTCAATTTAAAAAAAATGGACTTCACAGCTGCTTCTTCAGTGGATATTACATTTATGTGGACCACGACTATTTAATAGTCTACCACCATCAGTAACATTTACTTCTCATACCTGTGTGAGACTAACACAACAAATTGTGTCACTATCCAAAACCCAGAACAGAAATAAAGTTGCACAGAGGTTTTCTTTTAGAGTGTAATTTGGGGAAGGGATGAGTAGTTTTCACTCCTTGAAGAAAACATTTACTTTGTAACATAAAGAATTTGTGTAAAAAAACCCCACATTTCAGAATTACCTTCTCAGTATTATTTTAATAAGTGCATCTTAACTTCCCTTTTCTGCAGAATTGTTCAAAGTTAGGGGCAACAAATACACTTCAGAATAAGATACCTTCTTCCTGGATGGCATTTGATAGCGCACATTTTTCCAGAATCTTGTATTTGCTGAACAAGATTTCTCTGAGAAGTCGCCTTTCCATTGGATAGCTCCATGTTTTTGCTTAATGTATTTGATTGATTCCGGCATGCTTGTGTAGTCCTGTATTTCATCCATTTCTATAAGAATCACTTGAATCCCATCACGGATGAGAGCATTATACATAGCTAGTTGTTGTTCAGAGGCACCTTCTAACAGGCAGCAACTAGACATTTCTGATCCCAAAACAATCATCAGTCTTCTGCTTTGCTTAAGGGTTTCATCAGCAACACTGACCACAGCTGTAAGTAATGAAGGAATAATCAAAGTTTGCATAGAAACTTTACAACTGACGTAAAGTATTTCTTAATTTTAAAATCGCATATGTATGGAGCAGTGGCTAGCTCAGAGGACTGGTAGGTTTAAGATCTCCCAACTGTCATTCATGATTCATGATCCATTGCACAAAATTCCTAATAAAAAATTTTTTTTTCAGTCCCCAGGAGCAGATATCATTCACAGAACCTCAACAATATTATTAATGCTGCTGAGTCCTCCTTTGTTCATCACTAAAAAGAAAGGGCAGACCCTCATAACATCAGAAAAGAATTTTTCGTAAGAAACCAAAAAAATTTTAAGCAAAAAAAAAAGGTCTATTGGACAAATGGACAAATTATCCATTAAAAACAAACAAATATAGCTTTGTTTTCCAAAAATAGGTGTTTTCAATTGTATACATAATTTTCTAACCTGAGAACAATGTGTCAAAAGACAACCTATTAACTCTACTAATTAAAGCATACCTTCTCCTGGTAAATCATTCCTTCCTAATATAAAGAGATTATATCCACATTGTTGTTCTAAAACATCAGGGAGTATTCTACAAACAAAGGTTTCCAGACGATAGGAGCTTCTGCCTCCATTGCTTTTTGCGTACAGGACATATGCGTCATAGATTTTCCCATCTAAAACAAATACAAATGTTTATATTAAAAAACTAAAAACCACCAACATGCCTTTATTGCAAGGTTTCATTTTGGACTGTTTAAAAATAGTAACGGGGCTCTGATTCACCTACCCGACAGAATAACATCAAAGCACTAAAATGCTCTACAAATCAAAAGAAAGATGATCAGCCACAGAACCTGACCTCTTTTCCCGTCACGGGGATGGATGTGCCAGCAAGTGAGCTGGATGCAGGACCTGGGACCTCGAGGAAGGAGCCCCCAACCCCAGAGGTGCCAAGACATTAAGAAAGTATCCTCTTGCAGGACTTTCTTCACCACCTCTCCTGAAACAAACTCAACAGCAGTTATCTCCGCTTCTGACTAACCGTGAGAGAGGGTGGAAAACTCTAGAAAGAGGCAACTCTTTCTTATAATAGTTCTGTGAGTGAAAGGCAGGTAGAAGAAAAGGCCAGAAGGCAGCTGAGGTTTTGAGAGTTAAAACTGCATAATAAACAGGAATGAAGAAACCAAACCAAAATCAGATTTAACTCAACAAGCTACAAAACATAGTTTCTTTGATTTTTTTTTTTTTTTTTTCATTAGAACTCTATTAAAGTGTTCTGGGAAAACTGAACTTTTAACCAGAAGTTGAAATTACTTTTCCGTGAAAACATTTAGAACAGCCATGAGTAAATGTTAGCTATCTCAATGCACATAATCCATTTACTTTCAAGCCATGGGGAACTTCAGCCAGTCTAATTCTGAGGGCTGCCAAACAAAGTATCTATAAAGTTGCACTTACTCCAATTTTTTCACACCTGTCCAATGTATTTGACTACACCATAGCAATAAAAACACATAAGAAGAATCACAGAACAGAGAACTAGTAGCATGCTTTCTCTTTGGCATGTAACCATCATAACTGACAGAATTTAGAAGGAAAGTGTCGGGTAAAAGAGAGAATTTAGAAAAGAAAAAAAACAACAACAAAATTAATCTCCGAGAAAATGAGAGTGATTTTCAATATAAATATTTAATGCACGTCTTTAAACAGCTAGTTTACAGGATGTAGCTCTGCTGACACCTATTGATCATCATCAGAGTGACCATAAATCTACGTGTAAAGAAACTACTTTACAGAAAAGCAAAAAGCAACATGCTGACATGGGGAAAACCTGGAGTTCTTTTTGACCTATCTCACCATGACTGCCTTCAATATTATGCAGTGTTTATTACCTCAACTATGATTATATATTTTATGCATATGTCTCAAGAATATACCCCAAAAAATGTCTTTATGTGTATCTGAAAATTCCTCAAGGAAATTCCACATACATTCTACTAAATAATCACATTATTGCTGAGAAGTAATGGCAAATGAAAAAATCAATAGGCTAGTTACGCTAACATACCTGGTCACACTCACATACCTTCCTTACTTGCAAAGGCACAGACAGAATTACGGTACCAAAGCACCAAGTCAATCTTGAAAATCTTGTAGATTATTAAAGTAATAAATGTTAAAATTAACAAAGAGACAAGCCCTCCAGTCAGCCATCTTCGTATATCAGGAACTGCACAAAAATATAGGAAGATTTTTTTTTAAATGCTGAGTTTGTCCAAATCTCATCTTTTACACAAATGCAATACAAATTTGAGTATTTCACTTCCATCTACCTATTATTTTAATAATGATAAATACAGTACCACAGTGACTCTTCCCCTATTATGCACAGGTACATACATACCTACAGCAAAACGTAATACATCTGTCTTCTATCAACATGATATATGAGCATTTGGTATCAAAACCCCTTCTGGGGAAGTCAAGACAAACACAGGCCTCAAAAATAACAGTATTTCTTACCTCTGTGTTTTAATATAATATACGATGCAACCTGCCCAAAGGCATTTGAAGCTTGACAGACAAACGGTTGTTCATAATCTTCACTATTCACTTCCAATATTATTAGCTTCACAGAAAGCACAGGGCGTCCATCATAAGAAGTTTCCTCCCTATCCAAAAGGCGACAAAGAGAGCCATAAAACCACAGCCCTTTCTGGAACGGCTTCATCACTAGCAGCTGCAGCACGACAACGGTTGCGTCCATCTGCAAATGTCAACCACACTTCAGTATAGACGAGCAATTACATTATATGAAGAAAACCCAAACAACAGTCGGGCCTCTTACTGACATTTAGCATAGATGTTGGAAAACATCAAGACGTTATCTTATCTGCAGCTGTGTTTCCCCAACGGAATATAAGGTTTCTATAGGCTAAAGTACAAAAATATACTTTATAAACCTAAGCAAACCCTTGTTACAGGCTTCCCAGCCCCTGTAAGAGTAGGTGGAGAGCCCCAGTGCTTGGTGAAAGAGAAATTCCTCAATGTGAAATGACACAGAAAGAGGCCCTGGTACAAGGGTGTCATCTTGTGGTAAGCAGCTCTGGGACACGGAAGACATCAAAGGTGGTGACCTGCAGCAGACAACACCAACTCGCAGTGTGATTCCAGCTGCAGGGAGTGGAGTCTAAACTGTTGTTTCACCCCATGGATAAGAATAGACTTGTAACAGCTAAAGTGTCAGGCCGCACCATTAAGAGACACAGATTATCCCCCCTACATGCTGCAAGGGCACAAAAATGCTCATTATGCTGCACATTCAGTTAGTCATGTGTACTGTGATGTGTGACTGATGGGTGAACGAAACAACTTTTTAACCACCAGCAAAATGAGGGATACCACTACCTTGTTAACAGTAGATCTCAAACGCCAAATTAACTAACTAGTCTACTTAGCCAAGCACTATTCTTTCCTGAAAACTTATTCTAGTTGCCATTTAAAATGCAAAGTAAAAGCTTGAAATATATCATAAAGGGCATATATAGGACCACATGAATCACTTTCTGAGCAAAAAGTTACAGTAATTTGAACACTGTAACAAGGAATGAATCAACATCACTAATGCAAATGACTAATGGCTGCAAAGATGACCATTTAAGCGCTAGGAAGTACAAAAAATAACATTGCTTTTATGATATCAATTCAGTGACCGCGTGCCTCTGCATTATGGCCCAATTGTTTATGGCATTACAATTCTTTATGACAGTACAATATATTACTTTTGTATAGAGTTTTCTCTTGGTGAGCACTCAAAGAACTCAGCATTTTATTTTCCCCTTTGTTTTATGATGAGGACTTACTTCTCACAACTATATTTGTACTTTGAATATATCATTCTCATTTCTTCATCAGTTTCTCGCTCATAGATAGGGCTTGAGAATTTACAAAAATGATCACATTTTTTCTTCATAGCACCACCATGAGATGGGGGCTGACAAAAAACCTGCAATTTTTAGTTCCCAACTTGTCATATCTAAGAAACTTTCAGATTGCCTTCTGCTCCAATTTTAGTTGCCTTTTCAAGTCAGGTCTAATTTCTTCCCTCCTAACTCCATTTAACCTGCTTTTCACCCTCACCTTATCCCCCAGTTGCCCTTCTCATGCTTTACTCAGTCCAAGTCCATTTTCCTCCGAAACCCCAACTCATCACTGGAAATCCATCTCCCTTTTCACCTCTCACCCCACTAAGCTTCAGTACAAATGTCCTCAACAAAGTCTTCCATTAGCTCTTCAGCTGATCTCAGTTACACTTCTCTAACTGAAGGCTCTTAAATCCGGAAGTCTCAATTTCTCCTGTAAAGCACGGGTTTGACCTCTTGCAACCTTTCAGAGAGGCAGATGTGAAGGGAAAGGAGAATGCAGAAGAAAGAGACAGTCTGAAGATCATGTGCCTGGGCACGCGTGATCCAACTGAAAGAGGTCTCTGCCAGGCCAGAGCCCACTCAGTAGAAACTGTATTACAATTGTAAGACTGTAAGTCTACAAAACACCTTTTCCCAAGGTTGGAAATTAAGACAGATTGTTTACAGTGACCAAAAAGGGCACAATCACATGTGAAGTCCATGTGCCTATGTTTCAAGTTTCTACTTCAAAGCAGAAAGTGAACTGGAGGAGGCAAGCATTAGAGTTTTTAAAAAGAAAGCTGTTTAAGCAAGTGAAAAATGTTGCTAAATAATTTAATGTCAAAGGGAGAAAGTTCCACTTTGGTTGCCAACACAGTATTTTCTAATCTGAAAATATACTTACTCATAAGGACTTGCAAAAATTCTGCTCATATAAAATACATCAATATACACACCGTTGCCTGTCCAAAACACCTCATACCCATCAGCACCTGTTGTATTGCAATCCACTGTAACCTGTGAGCCTATAAAATTGTGTTACAAAGTGAAAAGTTAATTTCCATACTCTAATTAAAGTCTATACAATCCTGTTCACAGACTCCCGCACAGACGAGCTAAGGATGGTCCCACACCCTTTCAGAAAAGTTACTCTAACAGAGGGTCTATATACTCAATGACCTGCAGGTTCAGAAAGAGACTGGTAGGATGGAGGAGGCTAAATCCAGGACAAAGATGCCTCACTCTGGGGCATCGCTTTCCCTGCAGATTCAAAGATGGATCTGTTTTTAGAATCTCTTCCAGAGTGATGGAAAGCAACAGATGTGACAGCGAATCACTTGGGTTCCCTATAATTTTCTTGGCATCTGAGAGACTTCCATACAGGTTTCCAAGGTTGTTGGAAGC